AGGTGCAGTTTGGGGCAGTATCTGAAAGGATTTTCTAGGAATTCCAGCATGCTTAACCCAGCAGAGGCTTCTTTGAGAGGCAGTGAGCTGCCCATCACAGGGGCTGTGCAAGTGGTAGGTCAGAAACTGCTTCCCTAAATTCCTCTCTGCCTTCCCCACCCCTCCCTGCTCAGACTCAGGGGGCCTGGGTTGAAGAAGGTGCCCCTCTCCCCAAGCTGTTAGGAGTGGCTCTCCTCCAAGAAGCTCCCTGGTGAGGACAGGGAGCGGCAGGGTCTGTTCCCACGGCCCAGGCAGCCCAGCCCCTTCCCTGGAAGCGCTGAGGACTCTCAAGAGGCTCCACTCTCACAGGTTCAGGGCACCGGATGCAGCCTGGGGGCCCTGCACTCCCACTCTGAGTGAACCCTTTCTTCATGAAAGTGCCAGTGAAACTAATCTCTAAAACTGAGAACCTCTGAGAAAACTCAGATTTCAAGGGGAAAATGAAAGGCGCTCTGGGATTGTGGCGGCCCTTCCCCTCCCTGGCTTCCCCCTGGGGCCCGTGGAGAGGCTGGAGCCCCGGGTGCCTCTGTGCCCAGCCACAAGCCCAGCTGGGGCCCCCAGAGTCAGGAGCAAGCTAATGGGAGGAATGGGTCAGGGTCGGGCGGCGGGGTGCTCAGAGCCAGTTATCCCTGCTGTTTCTGTGGCATGCTCTGTGACCTTTGACAGTCTGGTGTTCTCTGAGTCCCAGTCTTTCCAACTGTCAGGTGGATACAAGGTTGGCGCCTGTTGGTAAATAACCCAGGTTTGTACTTAGTCCCAAAGTGTAGTAAGTGGTCTACTTTGAACTCTGTGTGCTTGAGGGAGACCCCTGAGTTCACAGGGTCTGACCCAATGGCAGGACCGTGTCATGATGAAAATTCATCTGACACACGCACATCAAAATTCATCTTGGGGAACTTTAGCCCTTGACCACTGGATGGAAGTGTTCCTACGGTTTATCTCCCCCTGTTTCCAGCCAAACCACAGGCCCCCACTCCTCACATAAGAGGAGCCTCAGATGCTCAGTGGTCAGGCAGGATGGGGTCCAGCCACCTGGCAGAGGCCTGCGGCCCCCTACTCAGGATCAAGGTGGGGTCACAGGAAGGAGTTCAGGCACCTGGCCCCAGTCATCGCACTGACCTAAGGAAAGGAGGATCAGAGGTATGTCGTGTCCAGACAAAGCCAGCACCTCACCAGCCTGTACTGTCACTCAGGCCCTGGTTGGAGGGACTTTCTCCCAGGCACCTGAGTTCCCAAACTCACCTTCAGGTGGCCCTACATGCACATCTCGGCTTTACATCTAGCCTCACGGCTGCGCCTCCTCTCACTCTCTGTTCCAACCACACAGGCCTCCTCGCCGTTCCCCCAACACACCAGGCACAGTGCTGCCTCAGGACCTTTGCATGGCCTATTCCCTCTGCCAGCAACGTGCTTTTTCCAGACGGTCATGTGACCCTGCCTTCACTTCCTTCAGGCTCATCTCCTCCGCAAGGCCTGAAAGGACCCCTCGGTGAAACTGCAACCCACACCACAGCCCCGTTCATTTTCTGTCCTCCTTTTCCTGCTTTGCGTTTATTTGGAGCATTTACCACTCTGTTACTTTTTGGTTACTGACTGACTGAGTAACTTGGTGTCTGTCTCTGTCACTAGGACATTAGCACCTAAGGGAGGTGATGGTGCCCATCTGTGTCCCTCAGTGCCTAGAATAGCACCCGGCACACAGTAGGTGCTTAATACCTATTTGTTGAGTGAATAAGTGAATGTGAACCATGTTGTGTAATTCTCACATCTTCCCTGAGAGGCCGTTTCCCTTTTATTGACAGTGGCTCAGAGAGTTACTATGTCTGGCCTCATGTCACAAGCTGATCACAGGTGGGTATGGACCTGGGCAGAGGACCCCAGAGTCCACCCTCTCAAGCCCTGAGATATGGCCAGAAATGTGGCAAGTCTGAAAGGGACCTTCAAGCCAGGATACAGCTACTGGCTTAGGACTCAGCCACAGAGCCCTGGGGCCTCAGGAGTGCAATGGACTCAGGAGTGCGCAGAGGGGAGCAGCTCTGGCCCTGGGAGTCCAGCCCCCTACCCCAGGGGTGGCTGTCCTTCCCCATCTCCCAAACCACACTCAAAGCAAGTATATCCTGCTTTCCCAGCCCCCACCCCAAACCTGGAATGTACTATGATTCCCGGAGATGTCACAAAGTAGGCACTGGACCAGGTAAATTCTCTGGCTCCCCGAAACACCCACTGCGTCCTGAGAGCTGTTTCTGGGTGCCAGCCCCACCTGTGCTAAGCACTCTACAGACTCTGTCTGCTGGAGGGGTCCTTTCACCACAGCTCGTGCCATTTTCCAGCTTAAAACCCTCAGCAGTCGAGACCGTACTCCCCTGCCCCACCCGTGAGGCCCTGCACAGTCTAGATGGAGCTGGCCCCCTCCACGCCCCGACCACACTGGCCTTCTGACAGCTCGGACTCACCACAGGGCCTTTGCACATGCAGCTCTGCTGCCTGGACCCCTCTCCCTCACCTTCCTTACTTTCCTCATTGTCACTCTTGATGGCAGCTTCTCTAGAAGGTCCTCCCTGACCTCCCAGGAGAGATCAAATGTCCCTACTCTGTGCTGACTGAACACCATGTGCTTCTGCTTCTTGGCATTTATGGTCCCTGTAATTTTACGTTCAGTCCTGTAATGAACTGACTACTATCTCTCTTTTATGAGACCTGGCCTCTGTTTCTTCTCCCCAATGTCTCCCCAGCCCAGGGCCTGGCACAAGCTGGGTGCTTAGTAAGTTCTGTAGAATGAATGAGTGAGGGCATGAAGGTTTGCCATCACCCCCAGGTCCCCATTCAGGATGCTACTGGCATACCGTGGGTCAGGCCAGGGATGCGGCTCAACACTGTCCACTGCACTGGACAAAAAGTTATCCAGCCACAAATGCCAATAGTATGTGGCAGGGACACCCTGCTGTAGGGTGTCCCTCATCCGAGGCTGACTTATAAAGGGGTCGCCCCAGTGGGCCTGGCCCCAGCAGCCACTTGGACAGAAGTGGCAGTGCTGGTTAACCCAGATCCCCAGACTGGATTTCACCTTGGCCCGGCCTCCACATTCTAACTGTAAAAAGAGGGGTGCCATCAAGGACATATCCACAGGGCAGAAGGACAACCCACAGCATGGGAGAAAATATTTGAAAATTCTATATCTGATAAAGAATTAACATTCAGAATATATAGAGAACTTTTAAAGCTCAACAACAAAATAAACAATGTGATTTAAAAATGGGCCTTAAACACCCATTTGTACACCTGTCTTCCCAGGAGCATCATTCACAGTAGCTGAAATGCAGATGCAGCACTAGCCTCTACTGGCAGATAAGTAGATAAACACAGTGTGGCCCACCCAGACAATGGAATATCGTTCAGCCTTAACAAGGAAGGACCTTCTGACACCTGCTATAACATAGGTGGACCTTGAGGACATTATGCTCAGAAACATAAACCAGGCACAGAAGGACAAACACCATGGGATCCCACTCACAGGAGGTCCCGGGAGGAGACAGAGCCACAGAGACAGGAAGTGGATGGTGGGGGCCAGGGGCTGGGGGAGGAGGTGGGAGTCAGTGTTCAATGGGGGCAGAGGTTCGGTTTGGGAAGGTGAGAAAGTTCTGGGGACAGATGGTGATGGTGGCTGCAGAATAATGTGAACGTGCCGGATGTCACTGAACTGTACACTTAAAAATGGGTTAAGATGGCAAATTTTATGGGGCATGCATTTTACCATAATTTTAAAAATTGGAAAAGAAAAAAAAGAAGAGGAGGTATAGTGTTGGTAGCCACATCTGGGCCACAGGCTGTCTGGCTTGTCCAGGAAGCCTCACAAATGTCCTGTCCCAGTGGCTTCTGCCTCCCTCAAGGTAAAAAAGCCCAAGTCCTCTCTGCGGCCCATGAGGCCCTGCACAACCTGCCCCGCCCCCCGCCCCCCCTCACCCCCTTCCTCTCTCTCCTCACACACTGCTCTGGCCACACCGGCTCCTTGCTGTTCCTCTGACACATCAGGCCCAGTCCTGCCCTGGGACCTTCGCACTGGTTGTTCCTTCTACTTGATATGCACTGTCATTTCAACATCTTCATGGCTGGTCCCCTCGCTGAAGGCCCTTAACCCTCTCTGCTCCTGGAGGAGAGAGTCCTGCATCCACCCAAGCCCCTCAGCCTTGTGTCTGACTCGTACTTTGGGGAACAAGACCTTTCCAGGGTGGAGGTGGCCACTGGGACACAAACATTCAGCCTCTTGCTCCACGTAAACTAATGGTTCCCACCCCTTGTGCCCACCTTGGGTGGGTGGGCATGTCCCACCCCCTCTTCCCATCTAAGCAGGACCCAGAACCCCCAGGAACCTGCTGCAACCAGATGGTGGGCACGAAGTGGTTGCTCAGTTAACCTGTGACCGAGAGTTCAATATGGGGGCAGAGAGAGGTGGAGACAGAGAGAGACAGACGGACAGAGGCGATGGGCAGGGAAAAAAAGAGAGAGAGCAAGCAGGAGGCCCAGAGACCGGAGGGGAGAAGGAGAGGGAGCAGGCAGAGAGCGAGCCGGTGGCCACTAACCCAGGAGCCGCCACCTCTGCATGACAACAGTGAAGGCCTGTCCCGCTATGAGCAACCGCGCTCACCCTGCCCCCACGGCCACTGGAACCTCACAGCAGTTACGTCAGACCCCAACCACCCCAAAGCTCCACAATAACTGGACCCCCACAATAGTCAGACCCCCCCACAATAGAGGGACTGCAGATCTGCACGGCAACGGGACCCACCTCGCCTCCAGCCCCAGAGTAGCCGGGCTCTTCGGCGACAGACCCGAGAGCCAGACTGGAGGACCAGGCCACAGCCAGACCCTCCCTGGTCCCTAAGCACCCTCTTCTGAGAACACAACCCCACCCCGTCCCCCCTCCGTACACACACCCACTAACGGGTACAGTCACCCATAAGTACCAACTCCACTGGGTCTTTTTTGGGGTTGCACGAAACCTGGCTTTTCATTCCAGTAGTGTTGACAAGGCGACAGCTGGCTGGAAGTCAAGTGTCAGTGGCTGCGCCGTGTGAAGATCAGGACCCTGGCGCGGGGATGACACCCACTGAGGATGCAGAGACATGAGAGGAGGTCGGAGTCCTGGTGATGAGAAAGGCAAGACAAGAAGTGAGCTGTGGGGAGCAGGTGGGTGGTAGAGAGAGTGTGGCTGCAGGGGGCCCCCAAAGTGGAAGTCAGCACTGGGGTCTTAAACTGGACACTCCCACAGGGGACTCCATGGAGCCCAGGCCTGGACCCTCTCCTCCCGAGGCAGCCCTCCCTGCCCCTTCCCCAGGACGACAACCTCTCCTTCTCCTCCCTCTCAGAGCCAAGTTGTCATAGGCAGAACTTCAGGAGAAAGAGGACCCTGGGGCAAGGATGAAGGGGAGAAGCCAGTATCCACCCCCCACACTCACTGCTTGGGGAGTGGAGGTCCAACGGGGCAACAGGGACAGAAGCGGACACAGATGAAAAGGGACACAGAGGAAGGCAGACCACAGAGAAACCCAAAGAGCAGAGAGAGACAGGCTGAGAAGTTGTTAGAGCGGAAAAGGCCCAGAGACAGTGTGGGAGAGGAAAGGGACATTGTCCCGCAAGACAGAGAGGGAGCTGCGATGGGCGGGGCGGCGGTCTGGGTGCCAGTTCCCGAAGGCCCCCGACCCCTGACCCTCGGCCAGCTCAGCCGGGCCTCTGCTTGCCTGTGCAGCTCACCTCCCAGCACCGCTTCCCCAGTGAGCCCTGTGGGAGCCGCAGCAGCCTCCGGGTCAGGCCTCCGACTCCTCTGTGGTGGCGAGGTACCACGCTTTCACAAAGGTGACACCCACTACCCAGCCAGCCGCTGCCCGTGGCTTTTCCTGAAGGGCCGTCCCTCTGGCTGGTGTCTGCCCAGGGAGCAGGTGCTGTGGGTTGGCCCTGTCTCGGGGGCTCACCCAGAGCAAACAGCCCCACCAGGGGGGGCACATGGGGCTGATCTAGCCACCGGGAGCCCAAGGAGCAGGACTGTGCCGGCCAGAGCTACAGCTTCTTATTCAAACCCTCTGTGACCCTCTGGAAAGATCGGGCCCTTCCTCTCCGCGCACACGAGGACGCCCTCCCGCCCAAACCCACTGCCGCGCAGAGCCTCTAACGCTCTGGCTCACCTGCTCTGTCCGGCCTGCCCATCAGAGGAATCTGGGGCACAGAGAAATTGAGCAATGTGCCCCCAGGAGACTGTGGGCCAGTTACTACCTACGGTATGCGTTTTCTGAGTGAACACCAGTAAACAGAGAGGAAAGGCATTCCACGCAGAGGGAACAGCGCCTGCAAAGGCCCAGAGGTAAGTCAGGGTGGATTTGCTGGGGAAACCCTGGAAGGAGGTGGAGAGATGTTTTCAGAGCTTGTAGGAAAGATCCCACATGTGGTCAGGGGCTGAACTGACCGCAGGGGCAGGATGGGGTCTGTAGGTGGGGAAGAGCCTGAGGCCTCTGCACATCCTGTGGGGGTTCCAGGTCTGGCCCTATTTGAGGAAAATACACCTGCGGTGGTGGGGGTGGGGGGGGGGGGCTTATTTTGGGGACAGCGGCACCTAGTGGGCTCTGTGTGGAACTTCACCCTTCATAGTTTTATACAAAAGATACTGCCATCCCAGCCACCTTCCCAGTGAATTAACATATTTAAAAAATTTTACATTCAGGACTTCTGCCAAGATGGAGGCATAGGTGGAGATGTTGTGCTTTCTCTCACAACCAAGTTTAGAGACAAGAAAATATTAGCAACAGAAAACACAGCCAGAACACAGAAAATTGAACTTTTCGGAAGTCTGATAACAATGAATGCTTCAGCCTGACCAGTAAGAGGGGCGAAACCAGCAGCTGGCGGAGCAGGGTTGCACAGAAAAACTCGGTCAGAGGGACTCAGGCGAGCGGATCCCAGGCGTGGGGGTGCAACGGGCAGACCCAGTGAGTGACCCAGTGAGCGACCAGTGGATCCGGCGAGGGTGCACGGCGGCGGGTTGACTGTGGTCCCACATTCCTGCACAGATAGACTGGCGAGGGAGTGGGCGGTGAGACGGGACCGAGCGGGCCCCAGTAGCAGGAGGCAGCAGAGAGGGCTGCCATTTTCCCGCTCTGACCCGGCCCCCACATACAGTGTCACAGCCCAGTGACCGTCCCTGGTGGCCCCGCCCTGCCCCTAAGGCTCTGCTCCTCATACTTAACGGGCTTGAACAGACCAAAAATAGCTCAAGAAGATCTCAAAGCCCCGGAGTCCATAACTCTAAGCGATGAAGAAATAGCAAAACTTTCAGATGCACAGTTCAAAACACTGGTGATCAGGATGCTCACAGAACTGGTCAATTTTAGTCACAAATTAGAGGAACATATGAAGGCTAAACTAATTGAAATGAAGGGAAATGCACAGGAAACCAATAGTAATGGAAAGGAAACTGGGACTCAAATCAAGGGAGTGAACCAGAAGGAAGGAAAAAATGACTGAACAGGAAAATATGAAGAAACAAAAATTCAAAACAATGAGGAGAGGCTTAGGAACCTCCAGGACATCTTTAAACGCTCCAACATCTGAATTATAGGGGTACCAGAAGGGGAGAAAGGAACAGCTGCCAGTGGAAAACTTATTTGAACAAAGAATAAAGGAGAATTTCCCCAATCTGGCAAAGGAAATAGACTTCCAGGAAATCCAGAAAGCTCAGAGAGTCCCAAAGAAGTTGGACCCAAGGAGGAACACACCAAGGCACAGCATAATTACATTAGCCAAGATTAAAATGAAGGAGAGAATCCTAGAAGCAGCAAGAGCTAAGGGGACAGTCACCTACAAAGGAGTTCCCATCAGACTGTCCGCTGATTTCTCAAAAGAGACCTTACAGGCAAGAAGGGGCTGGAAAGAAGTATTCCAAGTCATGAAATCTGAAGACCTACAACCAAGATTGCTCTATCCAGCAAAACTTTCATTTAGAATGGAAGGACAGATAAAGTGCTTCTCAGATAAGATCAAATTCAAGAAGTTCATCATCACCAAGCCCTTATTATATGAAATGTTAAAGGGACTTACCTAAGAAAAAAAAGATAAAAAAATGAACAGTGAAAGGACAGCAAGCTTACAGTTATTAACAACCACACCTAAAACAAAAGCAAACTAAGAGGACAGATAAATCAAGAGCAGAACCATAGAAAGAAGATCACATGGAGGGTTAGCAACAGGGGAGTGGGAGAAGGAGAAGGGGGGAGAAGGTACAGAAAATAAGTAGCATAGATGGTAGGTAGAAAATAGATAGGGGGAGGGCAAGAATAGTATGGGAAATATAGAATCTAAAGAACCTGAGACACGTGGTCATAAACTAAAGGGGGGGAATAGTGGGGGCGGGGGTGTGCAGGGTGGAGGGGAATGAAGGGGGTGAATAGAACAACTGTAATGGCATAATCAATAAAATAAAAAATTTTTTTAAATTTTACATTCATCTTCAGGAATAATTGTGAAATTAACAAATAATATTAATGGCTATAAAATATATTTAGATGGTGAAATTTTGATTAATTTCTGATAAATTATTTTATGTAAATTTTTCAGTAGCTGCAAATTTTAATAAAACTGAAATATCTGCAAACAGTATAATTTGGGAAACCACTGATTGAACATCTTATTTTTTTACTCATTCTTTTTTTTAAAAAGATTTATTTATTTATTTTTAGAGAGAAGGGAAGGGAGGGAGAGAGAGAAAAAACCATCAATGTGTGGTTGCCTCTTGTGCACCCCCCACTGGGGACCTGGTCTGAAACCCAGGCATGTGCCCTGACTGGAAATAGAACCAGCGACCTTTTGGTTCACAGGCAGGCACTCAATCCACTGAGCCACACCAGCCAGGGCTGATTCATTCTTTAATGTTAAGACCAGGAACAATTTTAAAGGAATAAGTTTTGTATACTTTCAATTACAATTTTATTTCTCAATTATAGCCCAATAAAGGCAAAAAATAAAATAAGTATAAAATAATGCTTTTATTTTAAAGATATTATGTAAATTCAATTCATGTATGAACTCATATTTACGCTTGATAGTGAGAATTATTGCAGCTCATGATTTGCAATGCTTCACTGTTTTAATAAAACACAAATATATCTTCAAGTGATCACGGGAAAGTACAGATTAATAATAATCGTTAGGATTTGCTGCCCACGTGACTGCTAGGTGTGCAACATTCTTCTTATCACTTTATACATAATAACCTTCTTTATTCCTTACCCAAACCCGGGAGGCAGGTGCCATCATTACCTCATTCCACAGGTCAGGAAACAGGCCCAGAGGAGCCAGACAATGGCCTAAAGTCACACAGCAAGGAAGTGATGGAACTGTGTGAACCCAGGCGGACCGCCTGCAAGGTGTGCATTCTCGACGTCTGGGCTGGAAGGAGATCAGTGAGGGACCACTTTCCTGGACACATGGCAAAGCTAACCAGGAGGAGTTGCGGGGGGACATTTTAGTCAGAGGGAACAGCAAGAGCAGAGGCCCTGAGGCAGGAATAAGTTTGACAAGTTTTAGGGATGGGAACTGGAGCTGAATGGGGAGTTGGAGGGGAGCACAGTGGGAGCTGAGGGGGAGATGGCAGCAGGTGCCGAATCATGCAAGGTCCCCGGGAGCCACTAGAAGCTCCCGGCAAAGGAGGAGTGACCCTACTGCCTTCTCTCCTGTCTTGCAGTCTCTAGTGTTGCCTAGAACCAGTCGGGGTCCCTTTGCATGTGAATGACAAAAGCAGGAGGTGGGATCTCACCCAAGAGGAAGGACCCAGAAATCCTCTCTGCCCAACCCAGCTACGTGGCTGTGGACAGGTTGCTTTCCCTCTGTGTGCCTCAGTTTCCCCATCTGGGCAGTGAGGATAATGACAGTATGTACCTCAGAGGGTTATTGGGAGAATTACATAAATAGGTTAATACAGGTCAAGTGATTAGAACAAGGGTCTGCGAAGGGAATGGTGAGCGTCCTAAACATCCTCCTACTGTCTCTCCACCCTCATCTTGTCCCTCCTCTCCAACTGCTGCCTCGGTCCTCAACCCTCAGAGCGAGTAGACGCTGTACTGCCCCTTGTCCCAGGGCTGCCTATGAACTTGAACCTCTAAAAGTTTATTCTAGTCGTTTTAAAATCATGGTTGTAGCTTTCCCCCCTCTCTCTCTGTTGCCACCTGTCTCCCTCTCCTCATCTCTGAGGCAACAGCAGCTCTATGCAACTTCCCCATCTGGACCCAGACACCCTCAGTCCTAGGGGGCTGGACGGAAGAGTCAGATTCAGTGAATCCTGGGGGTGGGATGGATGGGGAATTCGGAACACTTAGGACCACTTTCCCAATGTGTCACAACTAAGGAAGGCCTTGGGAAGCTGTGGTTTTGTGACCCCTTTGTGGGGAAGGTGCTGAGGTGGGGTGGGGTGAGGGACCAGGGTTAGCAGGACATTTGTGCCTTCGACAAAGAGGCTCCCTCTGAACTTCTGCTCAAAGCATTTGAGAGCATATGATGTCCTGGCCACGTGTCTCCGCTGCCCCCGGGTGTCTCTTTCCAGAACTGCATGGATTCAGCAGTCCAGACCAGCATCAAGTCCAGCTCTGAGAACGCCCTCAACCTTCGGTGATACCGTGGGTCCATCTCCCTGAAAAGACTACAGGTGAGAGGACAATAGAATGTCTGGAAGCCTCTGAGACGGCTAAGATCCCAAAGACCCCTGCCCACTAGTATTTACCCCTGAGTATTGTTGTCTCCTCTAATGTGTGCTGGACATGTGACCTGCTTCCAACGAATGGGATACAAGAAAAGTGGTTGTGTGGTTGGTTATACAGATTGCGACTTCTGTCTTGTTTGTACCTGCCCCCCGGTCTGCCCGCATCCCTTTTCCCCACCCCGTGCCTTTCCCCTTCCTACCTGTTTCTCTCTTCCTCTCTTCCTCTCTTCCTCTCTCCCTCACTGTCTCGTCTCTCTGTCCCCAGCGGCCCCACTCCTGTGGAGAGACTCATATCCAGCAGCTGCTGTCTTTGGTCAGCAGAGAGCTGAGGACTGCTCAGATGAGGCTGGAGGCAGGTCCTCCCTGTCAAGCCCCCACTGACCTCTTGATTGCAACCTCCTGAAGGACCCTGAGCCAGCCACCCAGCTAAGTCACTCCAGTTTCCTAACCTACAGACACCCCACGGTTTTAAAATTAAAGTTATTGGGGTAACACTGGTCAATAACATTATCTAAGTTTCAGGTGTACAGTTTTATGACACATTTGTATGTTGCATTGGGTGCCCATCGCCCAAAGTCCAGTCTCCTTTGTCACCGCATATTTGACCCCTTCACCCTCTTCATCCCCCCACCACGCTGTTCCCCTCGGTGACCCCCACCACGCTGTTCCCCTCGGTGACCACCGGCCTGCTGCCAGTGCCCGTGAGTCCATTTGTTTTGTGTGCTCATTTGTTATTTTCTGTTTTATATCCCACATATGAGTGAAATCATACAGTTCTTGTCCTTTCTGCCTGAGTTAGTTTGCTGAGCACGATACTCTCAGGATTCATCCCTACCGTCACAAAGGGCAGCCTGTCGCATCTTTCATGGCTGATTCGTACTTCAGTGTATGTATGTCCCACATTCTCTTCATCCAGTCACGCGTCAGAGGGGGCTTAGACTGTTCCATGTCTCAGCTATTGTGAACATGGGGTGTATATGTTTTAGGAATAAATGTTATTAAAAATTGTAGGTAGGTACCCAGAAGGATTATTGGTAATATGGTAACTTAATTTTTTTCATTTACAGTTTTTATTCAATATTATCCTATATTAGTTTCAGGTGCATAGCATTGTGGTTAGACACTCATATACTTTATAAAATGTTAGCCCTGATGTTTCAAGTACCCACCAGGCCCCATCCATAGCTGTTACAATATTATTGACTATATTCCCTATGATGTACTTGATACCCCTGTAACTATTCTGTAGCTACCAATTTGTACTTCCTAATCCCTTCACCCATCCCCTGGACACCCCTCCCCTCTGTCAACTGTCAGTCTGCTTTCTGTATCTATTTTGTTTGTTTATTTTGTCCTTTAGATTCCACATGTCAGTGAAACCACATGATGTTTGTCCTTCTCTGACTTATTTCACTTAGCATAATACCCTCTAGGTCCATCCACGCCGTCACAAAACGTAAGATTCCATTCTTCTTTGTGGGTGGAAAGTATCTCATTGTGTAAATGTACCGTGGCTTTTTCATCCAGTCATCTACTGATGGGCACTAGGTTTGCTTCCCAATCTTGGCTGTTGGAAGTAACACTGCAATGAACATGGAGGTGCATGTATTAGTGTTTTGGGTTTCTTCGTATATATACCCAGAAGTGGAATCGCTGGGTCATAAGATAGTTTTATTTTTAATTTTTTTGAGGAAACTCCACACTGGGTTCCACAATGGTTACTCCAGTCTGCATGTCCGCCAACATGCACAGGGGTCCCTTTTCTCCACATCCTCGCCAACACTTGCCATTTGTTAATTTATTGGTGATGGCCATCCTCACAGCTGTGAGGTGATATCTCATTGTGATTTTAATATACATTTCTCTGACGATTAGTGACACTGAACATCCTTTCATATGTCTGTTGGCCGTCTGTATGTCCTCTTTGGAGAAGTGTCTATTCAGGTCTTCTGCCCACTTTCTAATTGGTTGTTTGTTTTTCTGGTGTGAAGTTGTGTGAGTTCTTCATATATTTTCCATAGGAGCATTTTATCAGAGGTATTGTTTGAAATATCTTGTCCTATTTTGTTGGTTGCTTCTTCGTTTGGTTGATGGTTTCCTTGGCTGTACTGCTGGTTGTTTTAACCCAAGTTACATGTTGAGTTTAATGCTTGCAAGGCTTTGTTCCAAGATTGTGAACGGCACAAATCTAAATATGTTTTAAAAACATGGACAACTCTTTAACACTTGCTAAGCACCGGTCCTGACTGCTTGGCTGCCCCTTTCTTGTCCACACTGCTCCGCCTCCTGCACAGGAACACTCTTCTCAGCGCAACTCGGGTCTCCGCTCGGAAGCCACCTTCACAGAGACCGAGAGCCCCCAGAAACCCCCAGATTAAAACGCCTCCCATCTGTCTCTCCCCGTCGCCCTTCATCATGCTTTGAAGTCCTTCTCACCATTGGTTATTATCTGGCACATTGATTTTTTGTTTATTTATTGTTGCTTTTCCTGCTGGGCTGGGGGTTGTTTTATGTTCTGTTGTTTAATTTTATTGTTTAGCTAACATCAGTGAAACTACCCTTTTTCTGGTGTGCAATGCTTGGAATTTTATCCTACGTGTAATTTTGTGGGACCTGAAGACATAGAGCGTTATTTAATTTTTTTTTTGCACTTTCAAAGCGAAATACCGTTGCTCTGATATCTGGATAGAGAACATTCCGCCCCACCCCCCAAAACATACTTTCTTGTACTAAAACTTTGTAGTCACAGAAAAGGATTATTTTTCTTTTGCTTAGTGCTCTATTGCCAGTGCTTAGAACAATAGCTGTACTTGAATAGATAATTGGTAAATATTTTATGAATGAATGAATGAATGAATGATTGAATTGATGCCAACAAATATTGGAAGTTGATATTGTAAAGGCTACCAGGAAAAACTTCTCCTGGAGTTTAACTTCTTAACACAAAACGAGAGAGAGAGTCTGGCCAACAGAATTTGGAGAGTTTTATTGGTGCTGGGCATCTCTCATTACATAGAGGAGAAAGGGAGCTAAATAAGGGCTTCAGCTCAAGCTGGATACAGAGAGAAAGGTTTTCACAAAATTCTCTGATCTGCCAAGTGCTAATAATTTCCCAAGCCTCTGGGTCTTCCACCCTTGTTCATCAGCACACTAATTACTTTCAGGCATGAGGGAGGGGAATGGGGGGAACTTCCCAGGACAGAGAGTTGTGGTTCAGCAGTTACTTGATTTTTGGTTATTAAAAAATTTTTTTTCACCAGAATCATGGGATGGGTTCCCCATGGCAAATCCCAATATTCTTAACTTCTGGGTTTCATTCATCAGAATGCCCACCAGAAAGCTTTATTTTTTTCAACCTACAACAGGGCCAGGTCTAGAGGTCTGTTTGGCCCACAGAGAAAGTCTAATGTAACCCTCCTCGGAAAGAAAATAATGTAAGCAAATTAAATGCGCGATTATCCAAAATCTCCCTGCTTAAGAGGATGTCCCCTCCACAGCACCACTTGGAAACGTCTGGTCCCATTTAAAGCCACCGCATAATCCATTTGAGTTGTAAGTATCCATGTGAGTATGAGGATTACTTCACAACAGACATAAATAAATTTACTGCCTTTATGGGGACTTCAGAATGGGGAGATGAATGAGACTGCCAAGAAACATACTGTGGTGTGTGACACAAGACATGCTCACAAGGAATAGCTCTCATTTCTGCCACAAGCAGTGTCACTCCTCGAATGCATCCCACAGACCTGTGGTGACTGAGACCTAGGCCTCGACTTCCTTCTGATTTAAAGTCATGGTTCCATGGATTGTATCACCCTCGATATCTATCCTCTGGCTCTGAAGACACGCGGGTCAGGTGGTGGCTCCTGACGTTCCTAGAGCGTGGTCTGAATCTCCTTGTCCCTGCGCCTCCCACAACGCCCCCCTGGCACAGCCCATCTCACCCCCACCCGACGGTAGGGTAGGGGTGAGGGCAGGGGGGGCATGCTTCTCGCTCACATCCTCCTTGACTTTGGCCTCTGGGCATCAAGTTAATTGCTTGCTTCTTATGAGCAAGACCAAACTCTTGGGTTTATCCTAAAACTCTTCTCGGTGTGGCATTTCCCAAGCCATTCACCAGAATGGGATTTTCCACACCACAGATGGATTCTTCTTTCTCTTTCTCTTGCTCTCTCACATTTCACACACTGTTTTCTCTATCTCAGACACTCTTACTCCTCATATTGGCCTCCACAATTTTAAAGGACCATCGGATCCTTCAGGAGAAGACCCTGCACTCCAGAGTCTGTCGAACGCCCCTGCTGTATTCTACCCTCCCCACGTGTACATACTCCATTCTGTTCTGTTTCATTACACGCCTGGGGTCTATTTCCACACTCCATTACAGGAATCTTCCAAACTGCAGGCACTGTGTCTCTCCCACTCACCACACCACGGCCAGCGCCTACATGAAGTTCATAGTAGGTACTCCATAAGTATTTGCTGAGGGCTCAATGGAGGCTGAGCCGTGGAAAACCCCATCCGGTAGAACTAGACTGATTCTTCTGGGAATATGGCCTAAGACACACACAAAAGGACTTTTAGTGGTCTCAGTAACTGAGGAAATAGTGACAGGGTCATCTTAAGGTTTTCTTTTAAACTTCTGCCATTCAGAACTCAAAGTGGTTACTCTTCCAACCCATGCAATTCCAGATTTTGGCCCCCAAACACGGATGTCTGTGTCTTACTCCCCAGGAACTCCCAGGTGTCCTGATGGCTAGGAAGATGGAGTGATTTTTCTGTAGATGAGCTTCCTCAGGGCCCCCTTGAGGTCTTTGTTCCTCAGGCTGTAGATAAAGGGGTTCAGCATGGGGGTGACCGCAGTGTACATTACAGCAGAGGCTTTCTCCTTCACAGCCGTGCGGACAGATGAAGGGCACAAATAGACCCCAATGGTGGTCCCATAGAAGAGGGCGACCACAGAGAGGTGGGAGCTGCAGGTGGAAAAGGCTTTCTTCCTGCCACCTGCAGAGGGGACCTGCATGATGGCCACGATGATGCGAGCATAGGAGGCCAGGATGCAGATGAAAGGTGTGGCTATCACCATCCCGGCCACGATGAGCACGAAGATCCTGTTCACCAAAGTGTCGGTGCAGGAAAGTCTAAGAAGGGGAGTGAGGTCGCAGAAGTAGTGAGGAACCTTGTTGCCACAGAAAACCAGGCGTGCCATCAGGAGGATGTGTGTGAGGGAGATGAAGCAGGAAAACACCCAGGGGACACCGACCAGCAGGCCACAGACGCGTGGGCTCATGATGGTGGAATAGTGTAAGGGGTGACAGATAGCCACGAACCTGTCATAAGCCATCACAGCAATTAAGACAGTGTCAACAATGCCAAAAAAGTGGAAAAAGTACATTTGGGTCAGGCAGCAAGGATAGGAGATGGACTTGTTCTTAGTTTGAATGTTCACCAGCATTTTGGGGACAGTGTTGGTGACCAGGCCAAAATCAACCAAGGACAGGTTGGCTAAGAAAAAGTACATGGGCGTGTGGAGGTGGGAGTCCGAGCTGATGGCCAGGATGATGAGCAGGTTCCCCACCACCGTGACCACATACATGCAAAAGAACAGAGCAAAGAGCAGTGTGTCCACCTCTGGTTTTTCTGAAAGTCCGAGCAGGATGAATTCAGATGTGCTGGTGTGGTTCCTCGGGTCCATGGGCATGATTCCTCTGGAGGTATTGAAAAGGGGAAGTTATGTGGGTGATACAGAGATGATTTCAAAAGATTAGGCAAGATCACACCCAACTGCCCATTGGGGTTAATTACGATATCAGCTTATACACTTGTCACCTCTTAGACTACGGATGGAGCGTTGAAAGCAAACCACATGCCGAGGCTTCCTTCCAAAGTCCGTCTCTGAACATCCCTGTTCCAGACAAAGACTAGACAGTATGTCATGTGTGAATCCTTGCTGGGGAAAAAAAAAAAAACTACTAAAGACTAACTTCAGGGTAAAATCAATGAAATCCAGAAAGAAGAGATGTCCAAGTAGCAATAGTCAGTCAAGAAATCAGTATACAAAAGGGAAACCGCTAAACACCCAAAATTTATTTATAAAAAATTGTGAACTTATTCTCACATGTTTAAACTTCAGTCACCTTCAACATGCTCTCCATTTGATGCAATACACCCATCGAGATGTTTTTTCCACTGCTCAAAATAGTTTTTGAATTCGTCAATTTTGATGACTTTTAGTGCTTTTGCTGTTTTTTTGTTTTACCACTTCCACATCAGCAAAAGGTTTCCCTTTGAGGACTTTTTTTCAATCTGAGAAACAAAAGCAGTTGCTCAGGGCGAGATGGGGTGAATAGGAAGGGTGGGGCACAAGGGTCATACTGGGGTTTTTTTGGTCAAAAACTGCTGAACACTCAGCACTGTGTGGGCAGGTGCACTCATAAATCACCCATCATGAAATGGGCAAATGTGTTGAAACTCACTGAAGCCAAACACAGCCTCTCATAACAACACCAGCTCGTACACGGATACAGATGGATTCCTAGAACACTCACCTAGCAGAGGAAGCCTGTACTACAAGGGGCCTGCTCTACAGAAGACAATTCTGTTTTTTTTAAGGGTCCCTCCTTGTGTATGTAGAAAAATATGAAAACATTGAGTTTCAAAATAGTTCATTATTGTAATGAGAATGTGCATGTAAACAAGGTAGATGAAAAATGAGGCAGAAATAATATTAAGACAAGAAGAGAAATTAGAATAAAAGCTGTAAGATTCTTGTACTGAGTTGCAGGAGAATGGAAATACTGAGTATTTTGCACTTGCTATATAAAGCATACATAATTAAAGTTTAGGTGTAACCACTAAAACTAACAAGTACAAAACATATCACTTCTAAATTATAATAGGGGCACAGCAGAAATAAAGAGATTTATAACCAAACCATTTTCAGGAAAGGAGGTGGAAACCACAGACCACAGGAGTAACAGCAATTGTCTAAATGCCTTAACCAGTCGCTAAAGAAAAGGACTCTCAGATCGGACCCAGAAATGAAACCCTGATACTTCCCATGTACAAGGGATGCCGCTAAACTGTACTGGCATAAAAAGGCTGGACATAAAAGAATGGTAAAGATATAACAAAAAATACTAACTGAAGGGAAGTTTGATAACTTACTGATGTCGGGTAAAACATACTTAAGGCAAAAGGCATTACTAAAAAGCAAAAGGAAAGTCATTGTGTAAATGACTTTCAAAGTCATTTTTCCAAATGGAAAAACTCATTTGAAAGGGAATAAAGAGCTACTCATATGCATTTTTACATAGGCTTACTTTATAAAAAGAAAAACTAATGGAAGGAAAGAAAAATTACAAACCACATCTTAGAAAATTTTATAATTTTTTTAGTGCTTGCTATATCAGAATTTTGGTAAGGGTATTGAAAATTTGAATAATACAATTAACCAGTTTGATATGAGCACTACACTAAATTATTAGAGAATCCACATGTTTTTCAAGGACATATAGAACAACTATAAAAATTAGGCCATATAGAAAATCTTAATACCAAAAAATACATATCAAGCAACGCATGGAATCTGACCAAAATGTAATACAATTAGAAGTCAATAGTAAAAAAGATATGTTTGGTCGTGGTCAGGTGCACTGAGAAGCAGGCACCGCAGCATGGGCTGTGCGAGGACCTCCAGGCGTCTCCCTCCGAAGTTACGAGTGGGACAGCCGAATTCAACGAAGGATTCACGCAAACACGGCGGAGTCTTGGTGCACGAGACTCTGAAGGCGGGCGTGTGGGAGCAGATGGCAGACGTGGGACTGGGAGGGGGAAGAGCAGAGACAGGAGCGTGGGCAGTGCTACACTGCACGGCGTCAGAGACAGCGTGAGGGGTTCGGGTGCCACGCCAGTGTCCCTCTGGAGGGGATGCGGGCAGTCAGATCTGGGTGGCTGACACACACCGAGTCTGGGTCCAGGGCCAGGGCCCAGAAGCGGTGCAAAAACCGCCTCAGCGCTCCGCAGCCCTCTGGAGCCGACAGAGGGTCCCACAGATGCAGACACCTGCCCGCCCCTCCGCCCACGGCCCACGCAGCAGTCACATCCGCACTCAGCACATTGCTGAGGGCTGAGAAAAAACCTTTCAAACTTCAGTGGCCTGTGCTCGCTGTGGTGAAACCCGGGAGGAAGAGAAGTGTGGACGCCTGAACTCCCCCCAGCCCCGCACAGGCCCTGCCCGGCACTGTGCACCCTTTCTTCCCGCATCCATGGCCCTGAAGCGGGGCAAATCAAAACGACAATGAGACACCACCTCACACCTCTTAGAATGGCCATTATCAGCAAGACAAGAAATAAGTCTTAGAAAGAAGAAAAAGGAGCCCACACACACTGCTGGTGGGAATTTAAATTGGTGCAGCCACTGTGGAAAACAGTATGGAGTGTCCTCCCCAAAATTAAGAATAGCGCTACCACATGACCCAGGAATCCCTCTTGTGGGTGTCTACCCCCCAAATTTGAAGACACTTATTTGTAAATATACATGTGTGTATCTGAGAGGTCTATCTGGAAAAGTCCAGCCATTGTTAATGTAATGAAAACAGTTGGCGTGACAGTGGTGTAACCTGGCAGCCAAGGAGAGTGAACTGGAATGTGAGTGTGTGAACAATGGCGACTTCACTGTCCTAGTCAGCGGGGGTGGTAGATGCCATTGATTGAGCCCGTGTGCTGTGTGGCCACTGCATTCAAAGTGAGGGAGCAGAGCAACGAATCTGCATTAAATTTTGCATTAAGTTTGAACCTTCCTCCACGGAAACTATTTGAATGATTCAGAAGGTCACGGCTATGGGCCACCGGTAATTGGCTGCTTCATCATGACACCATGCCCGCTCATGCACCAAGTCTCATGCAAAGTTTTTGGTGAAACACCAAATCACCCAGGTGACTCGGCCCAGATTTGGTGCCCTGTGACTTCTGGCTCTTCCCAAAACAAAAATTGCCTTTGAAAGGGAAGACATTTCAGACCCTTGATGAGATTGAGGAAAATACAATAGGGCAGTTAATGGTGATTGTGAGAACTGTGTGAGGTGCCAATGTGCCTACTTTGAAGGGGACTGACTGAGCTGTCATTGTCCTATGTGCAATGTTTCTTGTATCTTGTATCTTCATCAATAAATGTCTCTCGTTTTCATATTACATGGCTGGATACCTTCGGGACAGACCTCATACAACCCTATGTTTATTCCAGCATTATCCATGATAGCAACACATGGGAACAACCTAAGCATCCTTTGGTGGATGAATGTATATAAAAGATTTGTTATATATATATATATACCATGGAATACTACTCACGTATAAGATGAAATACATCTGAGATGACATAAACAGATCTGGAGAGTCTCATGCTAATCAAAGTAAGTGAGATGTATAAGGAGAAGCCAAAAGCATAGTAGGCAGGGCTTGCAATGCATCAAAGGGACATAGATCCTACTAACTGCTTCTCAGATTTCATCAGGATGCCCACCCCCTGGTGCTGCTGGTGGATGCTCACCTGTGGACCCCCAACTGGCCCATGAGCTCACCCAGCACTCCACACAAAACACAGCTCACCCCTCCACACACGTGCTCCATGACTAGTTCCCTGTGTGTCCCAAAGGGCAGCAAGAAGAAACATCTTCAGATGGCTAGTGAACAAGGGCAAAGCCAGCCTGACTGAGGTTCAGGAGAAAGCACACATTCCTGAGCGGTTCAGACACCACCCCAGGGGAAGCAAACAGGAGGCTGCTTGCACCTGGCCTGGCTTTGCAGATGCAAGGGAAGGCATTCAATCTAAAGAATCCTCCACAGGGTGAAGAAGAAGTGTGGAGCAGGCGTGTCCACTTACGTGCTCTAACAAAGACTGAGAATTCCTAGAAAGGCTGACAGAGGTATTTCTAGCCCAAAGCAAGCTTGTACAGACTGATAAAAAGGTGAAGGCTTCTTCAAAGCCTTGACAACACCAACACATGACTTCGGGGAACATGAAAAGCCAAGGAAAGGACACAACCAAAGGCATACAGTTTTCCAGTAACTGACACCCCAAAAATGCAGATTTATGATCTGGTAGAGAATTCAAAATAGTCGTTTTAAAGAAGCTCAGTGGTTGGGGGAGGGGTGGGAAACAGGGGCTGGGTGAAGGGAGCAAAGGAGGGAAAAAACACGGGACATCTGTAATAGTCAACAATAAAGAAAGAAAACACAGAAAGACATTTAATAAAATTTAAAAAATACATGCATTGATCTTTTATATTGAAATTCCTAAACACCCCACAAAAAAAACTGTTAGAACTAATAAATGACTCAGTAAAGTTGCTATATGTGGATCAACTTACAACTCAGTCACATTCCTACACCTTATCAATAAGCTGTTTGTAAAAATTAATTCCTAAAACAACCACATTTACAATAGTATCAAAAATAATTTAAAAGTTAGGAATAAATTTATCCATTCGGTGAAAGAGCTGTACACTGAAATCCATAAAATAATCATTGAAAAAAATTGAACACACAAATAAATTGAAAATATTACATGTTTATCAACTGAAAAAATTAATACTGTGAAATGTTCTACTCAAAGAGGTGTACAGATTCAATGCAACTTCTCTTAAAATTCTCACAGCATTTTTCACAGAAATGGAAGACACAATCCTAAAATTTGTGTGG